TAGATACAAGGACTTCGTTTGCATATTTTCAAAACTAATTTTAATGCCACATGATTTTCGAATTATAATGCAAAATATAAAAAATATAACATCCCGGCCCCTTTTATCCGACTTTTGCAAAGTGCTAAATCTTAAGTAATCGTTGTTTATAAAGGTATATATGTAAATAATACAGGAAACTAGAAATAGGTTTCTAATTTGTACAGTTTTTGAGAAATTATTAAAATACGTTTAAACAGAGTTTTTAATCATCATATCAGCCTTTAACTGTCCATTGCTGAACAAAAGCCTCCCCTTTGGGGGGATTTTGCCATAGTTGTCACGCTTGGCAGGCGGATTCGCAACCGCAGTTAGGTTTTAGAGATGTTTTAAGAGGGACGCTACTGCCTTTCCCTCGTCCCCCTTAGTCGCCTCTTACGACACCCACGGGAAAGGAAGAAGTGGCCTACTCTATGCCGAGACCAGAGAGCGCCATATAAACATAGTTATGCATCTATGTTTTTGTACAGTTTTTATCCTCAGTTAATGACCCAAAAAAAATGAAATTCCTAATTGAAGTGGCAATAAATTATTAGTTGTACTATATTTTATATTGGTGATCCTGTCCGACTTTACTTGGGGGAAAGGGATTGTTAGTAATGGAGACTGAGAATCCCATTGCTAGCAATATACCCAACCAGGTCGACCTCCTCGCGGTTCTCTCTGGAAACTATCATGGTTAATTCCTGATGAATTCATCATGATAGGTTAACTGTTTTCATTCTCCACCCGTGCTATCGGTATACACTGGCGGAGCACCAGTGAGGAATGATAGGTGAGGATGAAGCAGGTCAGTTAGCCCATCGTGACGATATCAACAAGAATTGTCCACGACGGTTTCCAGGGGGGACCACGTGGAGGTCGACTTAATAGGGCATATTGCTAGCAATGGGGGTGTCAAACTCCATTGCAAACAATCCCATTCCCCCCACACCGGCGAGGGATGATAGGTGAGAATGAAAAGGCAGCTCAGTTAGCCCATAGTGACGAATTTATAATGAATTAATCAAGAGGGTTTTTTTTTTTTATTTATGATTTCTGTCGCTATCTTTGAGGCGACAACTTTCCAATCTGTTTGTATTTATGTCTTTAAAATTATAGCTGTGTGTTTATTATTATTATTTTTTTTTTAATCAAGATGGTTTCCAGGGGGAACCGCGTAGAGGTCAACCTGTTAGGGTATATTGTTAGCAATGTGAGTGATTATCCGCATTATTAACAATCCCTTCCCCCCTGAAAAGGCAGGTCAATTAGCCCACCGTGATGAGTACACCTAGAATTTCGCACGACGGTTTCCAGGATGAATCACGTGGAGATCGACCCGACGGGATATATTGCTAGCAATGAGACCCGCAGTTTGCATAACTAACAATCCCCCCCCCCTAAGTGCAAATTTGAATTTTCCTTAAATTTTGTTCTAAATAACTACTTAAATCATAAAACAAATGTTGGCAACTTTTTTTGAAAGGGAGTAGGTATCCTTGAATGAACAGAATTTTGTGAGATGATTGCATGCGCCCAGTTCTACTTGTTTACTGCCTATGTGTCGCAGATTAAGCTGGCTATACCCACCAGAAGGGTCATATTAATTAGGTATTTATTTACTCGATATTTACCTATTTTCCGCCGAGAGATACAAAATTCGATTGTATTTCTTTCTTATGTTTGTTACCTCATAACTGTTTCACTTACAAAGCAATTTGAAAAATTATTTTTTTTATCTGAAATGATATAAGATTGGTCGTATAGAAATTTTATTAAAATAGGTTCAGTAGTTTAGTTTTTAAATCAAAATAAATTATTATGCCATAATTGAAGTCTTTTTTTTATTATACTCGTAATTATTGCTTTATGTAAAAACATTTTAGCAGAGGGAGACTTTGTACAAAAGTCATTTGCTTGAGCGCCTCTGTCCCATTAGTGTTTCTACCGTGAAGCAGTTGTGTTTGCATGGCTGTATTTCGGTTTGGAGGATGCGATATGGCAGTGAATTTACAGGGTACAGAAGAATAACAACTGAGTCCTCAGGAATGGCAACGCATAGGGAGTATCAATGGCGAATCAGTGTACTCTTTTATGTCCATAGTATTGCTCATGTCTATAGGCGACGGTTACCATTTTCCATCAGGTGGGCCGTCATCTTGTTTATCATTCAAAGTTGCATAAAAAAAGCAATATGCGATGATCTAGACGCAGTTAAACAGAACTGGTTTGAGGTGGCGTAAAACAGGAACCTTTGAAAGGAGATGGGGGAGAACATTTCCCAGCATCATTTATAAAAATGTTTTTAACTGACTTCAGAAAAGGAGGAAGTACTCGATTCGGTTGTTTTTTTTTATGTTCATTACCTATCTCTATAGCTTAGTTATTTATAAACCGATTTAGAAAATTATTTCTTTTTATCTGAAATGATATACTTTTAGATTAGTCTCATATAGAAAATTTATCAAAATTCTTTTTTTTTGTGGAATTGTGTCGCCGTGTGTTCCCGGCATAGAATTGGGCATCCCTTCTCATTTCTCGTGGGTGTCGTAAAAGGCGACTAAAGGAACTAAATAGTAGAAGGATGGGCAGTAGCGTCCCTCTTAAAACACCAGTAAAGTCTAACTGCAGTTGCCAACCTGCCAACCTGCCTGAGTGGCAACTACTGGCAAAACGTCTCCAGGGGGAGGTTTAACAGTGGACAGTTAACGACTTATATGATGGCGTATAATTAATATTAATTAATTATAATTATTGTTAATTGTTAGGTAACTATTAAGATTTATTATATGTATGTATATATATATATATATATATATATATATATATATATATATATATATATATATATATATATATATATATATATATATATTTTAAGATTTATTTATACAAATTAATTATGACATAATTAAAATAGTCTAATTTTGATTCTAAAAATAAATATTATGGAGTGTCCAGTGAGTGAAGAGAATATATTTTTTTATAATCTTTTTATAATAACTGTGTGCGTGTGTATGTGCATGTGTGTGTGTGTGTGTGTGTGTGCAAATATGTGTGTGTTTAAATAACATTATTCGTTTTCTAAACTCTCAAATACTTTTTATTCGCTTTTTGAAGCACCTTAATAAACAGGTATCCCCTTTTAGTTTTGCTCAAAATATTTTTGTAAGCAACTTCTTTTAAGAAAGTCATTAGTGTACAAATTATCACCTGCCATCAAGTGAGGTATATACAAGCGGAAATTCAACAAGTAATAAAAAAAATTCTAAAAATAAAATTAGCAGATTAAATATTTTTTTCTTTTACTATTTCTATAACAATAAATACTTCACAACTGCAAATATTAGATGCCTCGACTGTAGTCAGATGCATTCGTTCCCCCTGCGGTTGATGTGTACCTAACACTCGCTCTAATCACACTTCGCTGATCTTGGCTTTAATCCAACCCACATGATTTAATCAAGTAACGTTAAATAAATGTAACGATTCTTGTATGTTACATCATTATGAAGGATATCATGGGCGACACAGTATACTCTGTTATATCCATAGTACTGTTCGTATTGTTTGCCATTCTAAATTGCATAAAAAAACTCAATCACAATTAAAAGGCTGGATAGATTAAATAAAATTTGCCTGTATTATATCGTAAATTAACACATGAAATACTTTACACTTACACTGGCAGGGGTATTCAATGACGAAGAAAAAATTGGCCTAAAGAAAAAAAAATAATAGATGGCGATACTAGTCGCGATTTACTATTAATGTTTCGGTAAGTTTTAGAAAACAAAATCATTTATAAAATATATTCTTATTAAAAAAAATCTCCTAATTACGTAAAATAGAAAAAAAAAGGATTTTAAACCAAATCTCGTTAATATTATTAAAATAAAAAAAAATATATTTCGACCAGGGAAATATTGTGCTTCGATCTAATAAGCATAGCATAGTATTATCTGTGACACTGGTACACGCAAGGAAAGTCGCAAGAAACAGTTCAATTATATAGAATCCATGAAATATGTGCGTAATTCAGTAAAATATATAATCTACCACAGACTATGTAGGTATATATGTATATATATATATATATATATATACATATATATATATATATATATATATATATATATATACATATACATATATTTCACAATATATATTTCACAAGAAAATAGTCTTCAAAAATATTATTTAAAATATTGATAAAATTGCTAAGGAACTAAAACGGAAGATAGATACTGATTAAAAAAAGAATCATATCAAAAAATCGATTGAAAATTGATAAAAACGTCGGCATACATACAAAAATTTAAAGAAATCACATTTAAAAAAAATTAAAAAAAAAACAGTCTAATTGAGAATCTCATTTCTTTTTGTAGTCAATGTCATGTGTCATCAAGAAAATAATAATATTTATTCAAATATAAAAAAATATTTAAAAAAATATTACACATAAATAGTAGGTATATTGTTTGAAATAATGAACAATCTGCAACTGTTTAATCTTTAGCGCGACGATGCGAGGCTACCTGGGAAGGCGGCGCGGCGGCGACGACGGCGTCCCTTTCCCCCAAGGCTACCGTAACAGCTGTACGATTATCGACCGTACGCGCATCCAATTGGACAACTTTTAGCTTGCGCACAACAACTTTTTTTAACACATATGTGCCGGAGCCTTACTAAAAGGAATACTGGAATCCTTCGAGTTAAATTGTATGATTTATCATTCATCATTCATTGTATGTTGAGTTGCAAATATGTAATTAAACAAAGCACTCGCATTTATAAGATAAGAAGGTAGACATAACAAAGTTTCAGGTGATTAATTCGCACGCGCATGCGCAAACGGTCGAGCGTTTAAAACGTTCGAAACATAAACAAAACAAGTGAGCTGTCAATTTTGACACTGTCAAAGTCACGATGGCGCGAAGTGTTGAATATATGAATGTAGATGACAGAAAAGGTCTTACCTATGTGGATATGCTCCTAATAATGTCACTTTAGCACTGTTCACCGTTTGTAAATATTGTGACGCTGGACTAGTGTAGTTCCGGCGTCGGCGCAAGTCTCGAATAACGGGTTGCGACGTCGCCGGGCGACGGTGGCGCCGCGGCGCGCCACGGCGACCCCGCGTAAACGGCGCGGGACGCGTCGACCCCGCGCGCCCCCCCTTGTCACCTGTTTTATAGAGCTCCGCGCCGATTTGGAAATAAGGGAGGTTTTCTTTTAAGAACTAGTAATTTACGTATCGATTTAATATTGTGTTTATTTCAAGGAATTATTTAATAAATATGTATAGATAGATACATGGGTAAAATTAAATATATATAATATAATGTACTAAATAATTTAATACATAGATAAATTTGATATTCACATTAAAAAAATATATTATATTATAGTTATATAATTAATCAAGTACATACAAGAAAGATGAACGAGCTAAAGTCGCATTGGGCTTTTTTATGCAACTTAGAATGGCAAACAAGCTGACGGTCCACCTGATTAAAAATGATTATCGTCGCCTATAGACATGAACAGTACCATGGACATAACAGAGTATACTGTGTCGCCCATGATACTCTTCATGTGTTGCCATTCTTGAGAACTGAGGAGTTATGCCTCTGTACCCTTTAATTTTATTGCCGTATTCTACTCTTACAGCCAGGGGGGACAGGGATTGTTAGTAATGGGGTCTAACTGACCCACTGCTAGCAATACACCTACACCTACAGTTCCTACAGGTCGACCTCCACGCGGTTCCCCCTGGAAACCATTGTGGAGTCTGTTTGTAAAATATGCTGGTTCTTGATGTAAATATTATCATTTATCAATTATATTTAATTCTAAGTAAAAATGCCGTCTGTTCACTTGATATATATTTTGTTCTAAATTCGTTTCTTTATCAACTTTCTTTTTTATAAACAACTTTTTTTTTTATAAAAAAGAAAGTTGATAATGTGATAAATGAAGAACCGCTCGACCGATTTTGTGCAAACTTCACATAAACCATCTACTAAATAGTCCGAACAAAGCCTAAACATTTGGTTTGGATAGGTGAGCCCGTTCTTGAGTTGTAAAATAACAACGAAAAGTGGCATTAATTTTTATATATATAATTATAGATTATATATAAATATTGTATGTAAAAAGGTTCTTTTTGAACAAAGAGTTAACGGGTCGATATTGATGACGATGACACTGATGCTATATATTACAAAATTAAAATTTATTGTACAACTAGCTGACCCCGTAAACGTTGTTTTACCACTTATTGCGAAATATAAAAATCGCGATTAAAATACAGGGGTTGATCGTAATACGATGAAAATTTAAAGTTGTATGTATTTTTCAATGCTAAATTATAATAAAATAAAAATAAAAACAATTGACAAAAAAATTAAAAAAAATATTTAGGGGTGGGTCATTATCATTGAGGGGTATGAAAAATAGATGTTGGCCGATTCTCAGACCTACCCAATATGCACACAAAATTTCATAAATATCGGTAAAGCCGTTTCGGAGGAGTTTGGTAACAAACACCGCGACACGAGAATTTTATATATAAGATATATTAAAAAAATATATATATGATAATAAAAAGTTTTTATTTATAATAATTATAATAATGTTAAATTCTTTGCAATATTTTTCTTTCTTTCAGGACATCGAAAAAAAATCATCGCGATCAGAGATTTACAGACATTAACGACGACGACGTCGCGTGCGTATAACTAAATAATACTTACAAACGAATTAAAAAGATTCCTTTCTTTTGAAGTCGGTTAATAAAATAAATTAATTACTGAAAATAATATAAATAGGTTAATCATTAAATTCGCTTATCTACTTATAAATTATTCCTTTACTTGCAAGCAATTACGGGCGAAATTCATACATTTTACACTAGCTATATCCCACGACTCCGCTCGCGTGAGTCAATACATAAAGTATCCTGTATGCTAAGTCTAAAGTAAAGAATATAATTTATGTACCAAATTTCATTCAAATCCGTACAGTAGTTTTAGCGTGAAAGAGTAACCTTATCATACTGGGGGGAAGGAGATTTGACAGCCCCATTGCTATCGATATACCCTATCAGGTCGACCTCCACGCGGTTCCCGCTGGAAACCATAGTGGTTAATTCTTGTTCAATTGTTTTTTTTAGAATGATAATAGAATGATGCCCCGCCTGCGTTATCTGTATACACTGGCGGGGCACCAGTGAGGGATGAGAGATGAGGATTAGAAAAATTAGCCCATCGTGATGAATTCAACAATAAATTTGTCACGATAGTTTCCAGGAGGAACCGCGTGGAGGTCAACCTGATAGGGTATATCGATAGCAATGGAGGCTTACCTGTTTTTTGTTTTATACAACTTAGAATGGCAAACAAGCTGACGGCCCACCTGATGGAAAGTGGTAACCGTCGCCTATAAACATGAGCAGTACCATGGACATAACAGAGTATACTGTTTTGCCCATGATACCCCCCATGCGTTGACATTCCTGAGGACTCAGTTGTTATTCCTCTGTACCCAGTAAATTCACGCCATATCCCACTCTTCAAACCGAAACACAGTCATGCAAACACAACTGCTTCACGGTTGAAACACGAATGGGACAGAGGTACCCAAGCAATCAACTTTTGTACAAAGTCTCCCTCTGGTAAGTAGATACCTCCTCATTACTAACAATCCCTTTCCCCCAAACGTGTTCAATTGGTTACTATTAGCCAACTGACCTGCCTTCATCACTTGTCACTCTTCACTGGTGTCTTCACTAATTCATATTTATATGGTAATAAGTATATTCATTATTACGATATGAATTAATAGAGTTTTTTTTTTTCTATTTTATTTTTATTTTTGTTTTTATTCCGATACTTTAAAATTTTACTTTCTTTTTTTCTATTACACGTGCAGACTGTACGGAAATAAAGGTCCATTGTCGAGCACGCAGTCTCTACACTATCCAGTTGCGTACCCGATGATTAACCGACTGCGATTGTACTGTAACTGACTGTACTGTACTGTAAAAAGGGTACCTGAAGTATACTTTTCGTTGTTGTGTCAAGAGATAAAGTTAGTTTCGAATAAGTAAATACATTTTATTATGTATATAGCTTTATATTAAAATTAATATAATAAAAATTATGTCAACATTTAAGGTCAAAAATACTTATAAATTTATTTCAGTCATAAACTAGCTACCGGCCCTGGCTTCAAACGGGTAGTAGAGCATATCAATATATGGTAACATTTTTAGCATCAGCTTTTTACGTCGAGTTAGAGTTAAATGGATATAGAAAGCTATCCTTAAAAGATAGACATATGCTATCGCGGATTTTTTGTAGACCTTTAAAAGAGAAACAATCTCACCATACATTGTTTTGTTATATCTCAAACAGATTAGGTAGTATTTTTGATGAAAGCTCCCGGCCGCCGGCTTGATTTCTTCCAACATTTTCAACAACCACTGTCATATTTAAACCAATTTATTAAACCTTGCTCAGGAATCACTGTGTTCATAAATGAAAATTACATGAAAATCCATTCAGCAGTTTTTGAGATTATCGCCCACATATAGACAGACAGACGCGGTAGGGAATTACGTTTTATAAAATTTTTGGTGTAAGTAAATATTGTTTTTCTTTCTATTAAAATAATGACTAGGTATTTGAACACTTAACGGCGGATCCAGGTGGGGGAGGTCATGGGGGTCATGACCCCCCCCCCCCCTGAGCTGGTTCCAGGACTTAGGTGGACCAGTAATTGAACATAATGATTTTATTTATATATTTTGTCACCATACAGATTTTATGTAAGTACATACCTTCAATATTTAATTAATTTAATATAATATAATAACTTCGTATGATGGTAAACGTTTGGGAACGATCGCATCTCTTCTCTGGATGTCTTCAGGAGAAGATGGCAATATGTACGTGTAGGGGGGAAAGGGATTGTTTGTAACGGAGACTAAGAATCCCATTGCTAACAATATACCCAACCAGGTCGACCTCCTCGCGGTTCCCCCTGGAAACTATCATGGTTAATTCCTGATGAATTCATCATGATGGGCTAACTGGCCTGTTTTCATTCTCATCTATCACCCCTCACTGGTGCTCCACCAGCGTATCCCGTTAGCGCAGGCGGGGTTACCATATCATTTTCACCCATCAAAAAAAAGAATATGTACGTGTACCATATATGTACAAGTTATTATGTGTTAAGTTTTTTAAGTGTACAATAAAGAATTAATATTTTTAAATTACAGTACTTACGTACATTAATAAAATACCTACTTTTACTTGTATCTATTGTTACCAAATTAAATTATATGTTCATGATTTGAGCACGACTATGTGACCACCTCCTGGCGCCAAAGCTGGATCCGCCCTTGGGAACACTGTTGTCGATTCTTTGAACTATGTGACCAGCCCATTGCTACTTTGGCTTGCTTTTTTTTATACAACTTAGAATGGCAAACAAGCTGACGGCCCACCTGTTGGAAAGTGATAACAGTCGCTTATAGACATGAGCAGTACCATGGACATAACAGAGTATACTGTTTCGCCCATGATACTCCCCACGCGTTGCCATTCCTGAAGACACAGGTGTTATTCCTCTGTACCCTGTAAATTCACTATCATATCCTTTCGAACCGAAATACAGCCATGCAAACAAAACTGCTTCACGGTTGAAACACGAATGGGACAGAGGTACCCGAGCAATCGACTTTTGTACAAAGTCTCCCTCTGGTAAATTATTCTTATTATTGATTATTCTTCGAGTTATGTCGGCTACTTTGGTTCATATTAATATTGTTTAAAAATCTTTTACGTACAGACATCTTGTAGTTACCGTTTTATTATTATATAGGTAGAGATGATAAGATCAAGAATTTACAAGGTTATTAAAACTTTATATTAAGGTATTTGAACTTGCATGTCAGTAGATATTTGTTATTAGTCTAGATAGCTTCAAAACAAATATAAGAAGACGAAAAATGAAAATTAATATTCAAAAATATTAGGCGAATAACCAAAGAGTAAATAATCACTTGAATAACTAAAACCAATTGACTAAATTGAAAAATATTGTCAATATCGTATATTGTCATTGAAGGTAATTCTTTTTTTTTTTCTAATAAATTAGGTACTCGTATATGCTACATAGATGAAGGATACCTGCGAATTAATACATTTTATGTATTTTTTTTTAATTTCCTAATAAATAATTTCCATAAGAAGAGACTTTAATTGTAGCAAAATGAATTATTTTGATTTAAAAATGAAACTACTGCACCGACTTTGATAAGATTTTTTTGGGCTCGATCTGTATGTATATCCTTTAAGATTTTTCCAAATCGAATATTATATTACTAATAACAAAATTGAGGTAAAGAACATAAAAAAAAACAATAGTACCGAATTGTGAACGTCCTTTTTTTGCAGTCGGTTGAACAGAGACAGAAACTATCCTTAGTCTACGATCTCAATGCTAAATATAAATATGACAGTTTGTTACCTCTTAGCGCCTTAACGGCTTAACCCATCCATATGAAGTTACAAGTGTCATTCTAAGAGGTAAATCTTTGTTTGAAATGGAAAGGGTTGTGTAGGTCCCAGCATAAAATAGGCCACCCCTTCCTTTCCCGTGAATGTCGTAAGAGGCAACTAAGGAAGCTTATAGTGTAGGGATGGGCAGTAGCGACCCTCTTAAAAATCACCAAAGCCAAACAGCGGTTGGCAACCCGCCTGCCAAGCGTGGCAACTACTGGAAAAACTCCCTAAGGGGGAGGGAAGGGATTGTTAGTAATGGAGACTGAGAATCCTATTGCTAGCAATATACCCAACCAGGTCGACCTCCTCGCGGTTCTCCCTGGAAACTATCATGGTTAATTCCTGATGAATTCATCATGATGGGCTAACTGGCCTGTTTTCATTCTCATCTATCACCCTTCACTGGTGCTCCGCCAGCGTATCCCGTTAGCGCAGGCGGGGCTACCATACCATTTTCACCCATCAAAAAAAAAACTCCCTAAGGGGAAGGTTTATGTTCAGCAGTGGAGAGTTAAAGTCTGATATGATGATGAATTAATAGGTTAATTATGAAATTAATATATAAAAAAGTATTATTCATACTGGCCATCGAAAGTAAGTTTTAGAATGACCCATAAATGAACTATATTTTTTTTTACAACACGGGGCAAACGAGCATGCGGCTCACCTGATGGTAAGTGACTGCGGTAGTCTATGCGCCTATGATCACCCACAACACCAGCGGCATTGCAGGTGTGCTGCCGGCCTTTTAAAAAGGAATATACTAATATATATCGAATGGAGACCATGCTACTGTTATCCCTGTCAATGAATATGTTCCAGGATTGTAAAAAAATAGGACTAGGAATCCCATTGTTAGCAATATACCCTGTTAGGTCTCTTTCTCTCTCTCGATCTCTTGATGGTCATCCCTTAGTAACTATCGTGGTCAATTCCAGATAAATTCCTCACGATAGTGTAATAGACTTGTGCCTTTTCATTCTCACCTATCATCCTTACCGATGCCCTGCCAACGTAGTTTTTTTTATACCACTGAGGTGGCAAACAAGCATACGGCCCACCTGATGGTAAGCGGTTACCGTAGCCTATGAATACCTGCAATACCAGAGGTATTACGCGCGCGTTGCCGACCCTGAAGAAACTTCTTTACCCCCCTTTTGAAGAACCCCATGCTGTAGGCTCTTTGAAAACCTCGGCAGGGAGGTCATTCCATAACCTGAGTGTATATTTCTAGCGTTGGCGGATCCACCACTTCATTATGACTCATGGAAAAATAGCCCTTGCACTGATTAGAAATAATATATTACTATTTGCAAAATAATTAAAAAAAAACATGTAATTTAAGGCAATGTGTAAAGTAAATGTTTTATATAAATCTGCAGTTTTTTTTTTTTTTATTTTAAGAAAAGCGATACAATTTGATATAGGAAGAATAAAATTAAAAAAAGTACCTCAGTGTATTATTTCATCATCATCATCATCACCTGTTCATAAAGGAGAAAGAAAACACCAAACATTGATGAAAAAATATTTTATTAAAACACAATTTTAAAAAATGGATTATTATACATTAGCTTAATGACAAATTTGTAGCGTAAACATTAATTCTATATGCCTAGATTACATTTGAAAATCCACTTTTAAAACTTTACAAGGGCATGCCATACAAAGTTTTATAATTCGTTACCATTATCAATTGCTAATCATTTATTATAATTTAATTCTACATATTAATTAATTAATTATTTTATAGTTATAATTATTATTTAATCTAATTAGCTTCATTAATCTGATTAAGATTCGTACACGGTAAGTCGGACACTAAAGAAGTACTAAGAATGGCAAGGTAGCGTTGACAAGTGTTGCCAATCCTCACCACGTATGCAATGTCGCTATGTATCGACCGATTACTGATCACATGGTTCGACGATATTGTCAACGGGACAGACTTGTTCAAGGAAACGTTGGCATTCATATGCAGCTTTTGAATGCTAGCGTACCGTTGGTTACGTCTATCGCTCGGCCACCCAGTATACAATTTTCACTCCGTATTTTGTACTTCTTGAAAGCCATTTCTACCGTAATTCCACTAATACAATAAATCAAAGACACGTCAGTTACAAATTTGTTAATTAATAAAATACAGCACAGCATAGTGGCACTGTTTACAGGTATGGGAACGTAACGGAATATGGAGGTAAGGTTTTTCAAACATAAGACTCGTGGCGTGTCTCACCATTTCACTGACACGTCAAGATCGTTTGAATATTGTAAATTGTCCGTGGCCGGTGCGCGCGCTGTGTGGACTCGCTACTAACTACTACATTTCTTTCAACCTATCAATACGAATTACAGCCGATGGTAGTTTATCATTTGTCATAAAGAATAAAACATGCAATTAATGTCTTAATATAATTAATGGATAATTTTAAGAATTAAAAATTCTGTACAATATATAATTTAAATTATTCATTCATTATCATTAATTATAGGATACGCTGTTTAAAATCAATTGTGAATATTAAAAATTCAGACATCACAACACATAATGAGACAACATAAATTATTCAATTGAATATGTAAAACATGTTTTGCTCTAGAATGAAACTGTACAATGTGCTTTAAATTTTCACGGCAGTTGAACGCCGTATAAATAAATAAATAGGAGTAAAATTTTTATAATCACAAAATTATGTCAGTTTTAATTTATTTTATTTTATTTTTTCTTCAAATAATAATAATTAAAAAACAAAAATCATACATGCAGAAAATGATCGGTTTAAAACATATTAGTACAATTTATTTCTAACAAGCCAAATAGTGGCCGTAGCGTAACAGGCGCATTGGCGACGCGACGGCTCGCGGGCGTGATTAATATAAAACTACTTTTCAGTATTGCTAATTTGCAGTCTGGCGCCCCGCCACGGTCCGCCCGGCCTAATTACGCCACGCCTACACCGTCAATATTGTTAAAATTATTGGTATTTGCTTTCACCGAATTATTTCACAGCACAGCACTATTACTTTTTGAACAGTTTATTCCATTGTAGGGCGTGTTTGGGTGGTTGGGATGAAGTAGATGGCTGAGGAGCTTCACCTTGTTGCACCTCAGATTGGAAGCCTGTGGAAAACATAACATATTAATGACGAATCACAAATAGTAATATTGTGTGGTTAAAGTAATTATACAAAGTATGTGCGCTCCCCGCATAGAATGGTCCCCCCTTCATTTCTCGAAGGTATCTTAGGGGGGACTAAGGGAACTCAATGATTGAGAGATGCGTAGCAGCATCTCTCGTAAAACGTCACCAAAGGTCGTCTGCGGTTGTCAACCTGCTTGCCAAGTGTGGCAAATACTGGAACCTCTAACTCCCTTTTGAAGAACCCCATATTGTAGTCTCTTGGAAAAACCTTGACAAGGAGCTTGTTCCATAACCTGAGCGTTCTTGGAAGAAAACGTTTCTGAAATCGCGTTGCAAGCGACCATCTAGGCTCTAGGTTATGGGGCTGAACTCCCTGTGGATGGCGAACGATGGAGCTGTACGATGGTAGAAAGTGGCCGTGGGCATTATATTGATCTTTAGAATAAAGATTTGGCTATGATATCACATTGATGTTTTGATTTTAGACAAATAAGACCACAGAATCTACTTCAATTTGTCTGCAAGTATACTCTATCTACTGGGAAGTTTTTAATGTTTCATTACAACTAGAAACTTACCTTTCTCGACAAAGCTTTTGAAAATATGCTTATGCCGGACTGACTCCCAATTGGCGCGGCGCTACTCGGCTATTTCGCGTTCCCCCCCGCCAGCTCCTGACTTGTCGACGATGCACGACCTTGCGACAGACTCGAAAAGCCTGCAAAGGAAACTCCACTGTTTACATTGACACCAGAGGGCGCTACTCTTCACGCACAATTTATATATATATTTATGCGACTTGGAATTCACTTTATGACACCCACAGCACCCACCGTGCATTGTTATTCCTAAGGACTCTTGGTACTGCGGCCCTGTACCCTGTAATTTCACTTCCATATCCCATATTTTAAAGGTATGAATAATAATGTTCTTCTTCTCGAGTATCTATTTTCCATGTGTCATATCTGAATAATATCTCATTAGGGAAAGAAAATTGAAATTTTAACAAGATAAAAGTCTAATTGGAAGACCAAATTTCTGTAATACACTAAAAAAGTCATACTTCACAGAAAATAATTAGATAATATAATTTATTTTTAAAATATTCTAAAATCGAATATTTACTCCAGATGGATGATCTTCAACAAGTGTGACTCCTGTCCAAATTCGATGAAACCTTTCAACTATTAGTTCCTACTTGGAGTTCCCAGAGAAGCCAATGTCTACGAAATATAGAAGAAAACATATTATATTAAATGCTTTATGGAGACATTAACCTTTTTGAAAACTCAAAACCATAAGTCATTAGAAGCCATTGTAACTAGACAGTAATCATACTTGTACAATATCAACTAAATTAAATTTATTTTATCACAATACGAATCCAAAAACATCATCTATAAGAACTTATTGATAATAGTTTAAATTCCATGTTACAGTTAAGATATACATACAAGTATATAAACACTTTTGGAAAAACCCAGGCTTCTTGCAGCAAAAAATATTAATTCAAAAAACTCACTTCTTAATCTCCGGCGCACAGTGTACAAACTCGTGAGACCAAAACTTGTAGATGGGGTTCTTGATCAGCTCGATGAACGTGATCAGCAGACCCCACGGGTGGGGCCGATTCACGATCAGCCTCTCAAGCAGCATCCGCGTGATTTGCTCTTGGACAGCCTCCGAATTCGCTTCCGCAAACAAATAGAGGAGGCAGCAAGAAAAATAGTGCGTATGACTGTTGGGGTAACGGAGCTGGTTCGCTATTGCGTTCAAGAACAGATATCTGGAATAAACATTTCTCTTTATAGGCATACTGTTATTTTGTATAAATTACAATTAAGTACTAACAAAGGTATTGCTTTGCCATGTGGCCCTCGAATAGAATGGGGCTCCCCTTCCTTTCCCCTGGGTGTAGTAAGAGGGGACTAAAGGAGTGCGAGGAAAGAAAGAGGTAAAATATCTATGTACAATTTATTTAACCTACTTGATGGAAAAGAAAGTAATGATGTTGATAAGTGGTTATGAGATGAATATGTACAATGTTTATTTACAGACGCCACAATATATTTGTGAGGGGGGAAGGGATTGTTAGCAATGAAGTTTAACAGCCCCATTGCTAACAAATATGCCTTATAAGGTCGACCTCCACGTGGTTTCCCCTGGAAACCATCGTGAACAATTCATATTGAATTCGTCACGATGGGCTATCTGGCCTGCTTCATCCTCACCTATCATCCTTCACTGGTGCCCCGCCGGCGTATACCAATAGCGCGGGTGGGGTTACCATTTCATTGTCATGCATTAATATATATATATATATATATTTTTTTTTTGTGTATTAGATTAGTATTAAATTGTATGGGTGTTAACCGTATGCGTGACCTATGTATTAAATTGATCAATACATTATTCATTCCGTCCTCTCATATTAACAATCAACTTACCTTCCCTCATAGTCGAAATCGACGGTGAAGTTCTGGAAGATGTCCATGTGTGACGAGTGTGCGATCGTTGACATGTTCGGTGTCTGCCCCTTGGAACGGATGTGTGCTATGGCTTGAGTGCCCACATACAGCACGACTGCATTCATCAACTGACTGTTGTACCTTCGGCCGGGCTCATTCAACACCTAAATCAATTATTATACATTTTTAGTAATGGTGGACCAGAGCTACTTATATATTTGGAGGACAGAAAGGTTGGCTAGTAATGGACAAATAGAGGATTTATTTTATTTATTATTATTTCTCACCACAAACAATTAAGGACTTAATTATATGTATAACTTGCAAAACGTTTTAACAACATCATTTGTGGGAGCTGGTGCCTGTACTAGGTAATAAACCTGTATTACAAGTCACTAGGACCCTTATCTCGAACAGAACAAATTATACACATGAAAACTATCACAAAAAAAGGTGATGGTGAGTACATAAAAAAGAAAATTCTGATACAGTGCATATACAAGAGAAATAGCTTTCGATAAACCTTTAAAATAAAAACAAATTATATATGCTAGGGTTAATAAGAATGCATTAAAATATAGGCAAAAAATGTGTGACACGAGTTACATATATATATTCTTTATTGCACTTGTAAGATACATATAAAATAATCTATTTATACATGTTGTGAGCAAGGGTGGACTTATCTCTGACAGAGATCTCTTCCAGTCAACCCAGTACAGTGAGAAAGCATTTATGTTATAGAATGCATGTTATGTATGTGTATTTGTATCTGAACGTGTGACTATATATGAGTTCGTTCCTTGTGTGTGTCAATGTATGTATGATGTATGTGCGCATGTGTGATTGTGTGTGTGTGTGTGTGCGTATATATCTTAGATTTAAAAGATCTTCTGTTTTATCATAATTTTGTTTTTGAAGCAAATTTTTAACTGATGTTTTACACTTGGAATAAGTTAGAGCATATATAGAAATTAGATTATGCAATTTATTTTACAGAAAGGGGGCAAGATAAGAGAAAAATCTTTGACTGGAAGATTTCTTACAAACAGTACTTTTAATTACAAGATGATTACGCTTTATCATAAAAGGATCGAAATTAGTCAGTTTGTGTTGCTTCAAAACTACTGATAGAATAAATAATTGTCTAACAGTAAGACCAATTGAGATTTTATACAATTCTTCTGTGGGACATAATAGTGGTTTAAAACAACAGACTTTAAGTACAGCTCTGTGCGCGTAAAATTTTTATGAAGTGTGATTTGGTAGCACCACCCCAAATAGAGATGCCATAGTTCAAAATGGATTGACTTAATGTAAAATAAACCAACCGGATTATGTGTGTATCAGCAGAAAGACGCAATTGTTAAAATATATAGATAAGTTTACGTAATCTAATAGAAAGGATTTCAATATACGGTTTAAAAGATAGATTTTGATCTAAAGTTATACCAAGATATTTAATTGAACTCGTGCTATCCAAGTAGAATACCCTGGGAACCGAAGAAGACCCGTCATACCCCTCGTTGGCAACAATTTTATATTTATTTGGTGGTGGTTGAGTAGAATTCCGTATTGTAAAAGTCATGAATTTAGTTTTATTAAGGTCAACAAATTATCAGTAAGCCACCTACAAACACAGTTAAATCCTTTCTGAGCTATCTCAAAGGCACCGGACCAGTTACTAGATGTAAACACTAATACAGTATTATCTACATAAGATAAAAATCTACCATATTCGAGTTTTAGGTCACACAAATTATTAATGTAAATAAAAAATAAGCTTGGACCCAGTATGCTCCCCTGAGGAACTCCATTAGTAACAGATTGGTAGGAACTAGTAAGAATGCCAATTTTTACACATTGAGAACGACCCATAAGGTAGAATCTAAACAAGGATAGTTGCGCATCTCGTATACCAATTATTTTGAGATTATCAACTAATAAAGGTATTGAAACGGTATCAAATGCTTTAGCCAAATCAAGGTATATTGCTAAACATTTTTTATTATCGTCAAGACCTGCAACCACATGATCAACCAATTCATGAATGGCATCACTGGAAGAAACATATTTTCTGAAACCAAATTGGTTCGGAAATAAGATATTCTTAGACACAAGATAACTTGTCAATCTAGAATTTATAATACGTTCTAAAATTTTGGACATGGAAGTAAGTATTTTCCGTTTTATATATTGGATGATAAATAGCTTTTTTTAAAACGTCGGGAAAAATACCGGATTTTAAACTGAGGTTGCAAATATGAGTAAACAATGAAATGATAATATCTTTATATTTTTTTAGTAGTCCTACAGAAATGCCATCCCATCCAGTTGCACAGTTATTGCGAAGAGAGTCAATGAGTCGAGCCACCTCGAGTTCATCAGTTTCAACCAGTACAAAGGAATTTAGGGTAGCCGATTCATATCTATTTCTATTTGCTTTACTTGAAGTGCAAGATGTTTCTGCTAATTTCTTTCCAGTGTTAGCAAAGAATTGGTTAACATTATCTATGCTGTCTTGAGGATTGTTTTGAGAGTAAAGTAGGTCAGTTGCTATAGAATTGATTTTATTGATATTGACGATATTCTTCACAACATTCCATACTTGCTTGATGTTGTTTCCAGCCTTCCGAAGCTCTTATTTTTCATATGTTATTTTAGCATTTTTTATTATAGTGTTACAAAAATTACGATACCTTTTATAAGCGACTCGTAATATAGCATTATCAGGCGTTTTTCTTAGTTTCATATGTAGGCGATCTCTATTGCGCATGCATTTTAACATACCAGGAGTAATCCAAGGTTGAATAACATTTCGTCTACGAGAAGAGATACTTAGCTTAGTATTATTAAATAAGGCTAATTGGATTTGTTTAATTAAATATGAAGCTGCTGTATTTGGATCATTAGTGGAATATATTGGAGTAAAATCTATTTTTAGAGCACCTTTGCATTGATGTAATTGATTGTGAACTACCGATTCTAGGACCATAGAGAGAATGGGAAGAATGGATATGGGACGGAATTAGAAGAAGCTGGTCGGATTCGGAGTTTTGGGAAGTGGAATAATAAAGGCCTTTTTCCACTGTATCTGTAATTTATATTGCGTGTGATTACGGGCAATATCTCATCCAACACCGGTAGAACCATATCAAGGCTTGTCACTGCCAATGGCTTTGGTAGATATGAAACAGATAATTTTTCTGACAGCATCTGTGGACACCATACGGAAAGTAAATGAAGGGCAATCAGGCACTTCGGTATCAAAAAGATATGAAAGAGAGTTGGCCTTAGCAGAATTACTTAAAGAGGGAAGAGTAGAGAAGTGAGTATATAAACCATTAAGGTCCAAGTTATTAAGAGATTGAATAGAGGATTTGCCTATGCATAAAAATAAAAGAAATTTCCAAACTTGCGGTTGGGAGAGGTTTTGAATGGTAAAATGGATATAGTGGCGTTTGGCATCCCTACACATTCTGTTGCATGTGTTACGTAGTTTCTTATAAGCCTCGAAATTAATCTGAGACCTGTCGCGCTTATACCGGGCCTTTGCTCTATCACGCTTAGCCATAGTTTTTCTAATTACTGGGGATAGCCAGGGAGCTGGTTCATGCCTAATACGAACGGGACGAATTGGAGCATGAGTATCGTACAGTTTTAGTAATTCCAGATTTAGGATATCCACCATTACGTCAACGCTATCAGCAGAGAGCAAACTCGACCAATCAATGTGCCTTACGTCCTCTCTCAAACGACCCAGATCCATATGCCGAAAATCACGAAGCAGACGAACTTTGCCCTTAGTCTTAGGAGGGCGTACCCTATATGAAAGATATAATAGATCCTGGTGAGAAAAAGGAGAACACATTTGCCCCTGAGAAATAGCCATATTAGGATGAGAAACAATAAGGGAAGGTTAACTATTAGGGAAATAATATGTCGGATTTGGCAATGTCAGTATTTGAAGATTTAGCGCAGTAGTTAAAGTCTTAAGTTTACTTGCTCTGTTGTCATTCCTCAACAGACAAGTATTTATATCTCCCATAAGAATGACATGATCATACTTAGTCAAAAATTTTTCCAGTATATGCTCTAAGGTGCCAAAGTAATCAGTCTTGTTGGAAGGACAATACAAAACACCAAGTAGGATTTTTTTATGGTGAATCTTCAAAGAAAGAAACAAGTAATCGAGAGAACCAATATATCCTGGCTGAGATGCACAAACCACATCCGCAGTAATGCGATTGCGAAGATAGATCCCTACTCCATCTCCGCCTGTAAGAATCCGATCGTTGCAAGAGTTTGTATTCCGGAATGGCCCAACTGACAGATGGTAGAGAGGGTTTCAACCATGTTTCGGATACAAGTATACAATCAACTATGCCAGCGCTGAAGGATGTGAGAATATCAGGGTAATGAGCTATAATACTCTCAGCATTAATATGCACTAGGGAAAGGAATTTGGAATGGTCAGTAAAAGGAATAAGCAATTTATTTTCAAGAGGGTCACTATCAGATAATGAATAGTCATGACTAGAAGCAGTATCAAATTCATCAGAGGAAGAGCAAGAAAAATAATGTATTAAAATAACAATATATTTAAATCAAATTAAAAAACATATAAGTGTACTCTTTACTGTGTTTACTAATGGGGAAATATAGTAAAAAAAAACAACGATTTTATTAAATATATTTATTTTGAAAAAACATTTGGTAACATGTAAACAGCCAAATATTAAAATAAAACCGATTGTAGGCACCCAATGTGATTTATAACCCCGGTATCAAATTTAGGGTTAAACCTTCTTCCTTACGAAGCAGTACTTTACCGTTGTGAACTCGGCAGCACTTAAACTTTCCTGCCCTCACCAATTCTCCGCCCAGTAAGTGTAGTCTCCTAGTTTTTGGTGGAAGATGTTCATAGACGTATATAATTTGCTGCTTATCATTCAGCAATAGAAAGGAAGTGTTAATTTTTTCTTTATTTTGTGAGTTGAAGGCACGAACAGTCTTTATTATTCGATTTTTTAAAATAATAGAATTAAGGGTAACCAGAATAGGTGTGATGCCGGCTTTGCCCAAGTTAGATATACGACGAATGTAAAAAATGGCTGTAGAATCTATATTGACCCCCACCCAAAATATCCTGAGTTTCCTCAGTAACAATAGGTACATTTCGTATTTCTTCTAGGATGTTTAAGCTAGATTTTCGCAATAGTTCTTCATTTTGGACTTCCAGTTGTCTGATACGTTGCTCATATGACTGGGATGTAAGTTCCAAATGTTAAATTTTTAACTTGACTTCTTCATAGTTTTCCGATGAAGAACATATAGATCTTTCTATCTCAGCATTAGTTTTCTGGACATCCAAGATTTGACGATTTACTTCTTGTAACGATGATATAAATATATAACAAAAATCTTGATTCGAAAGCTGTGACCAACTAAGTAGTAATGTAATAAAGTAATGAGCCGCCAGACGAGCAGTGGACAGAAACCGAGCGATGAATCATTCACCTTGGTTGTTATTCATGAAGGACACACGATTACTATCAAGACACACTTTAAATGTTTTATTTTTAACTGTTTACAAGTTTTGATAAATTTTTTTCCACTGTATGCAATAAAGCACCATCCACTTTAATGTGATATACAAACTTTATTATGGTAAACTTTTAGATATTAGTGTTACAGAGCACAATAAACACAACGGCGTTCCGATGGTAGATTAACAGCTCCATGGTTTAAAATAATACCTTACTAACCGTCTGCAATAAGAATTGTATCGTAATAGAGTCGCTTTAAGATGCGATCATGTATTTAAATACCCAACTAGTTCTACACATTCCGTTTCATACATTACGAAAAAACTGACCACGTCCATATTTCATTGTTAGCCCGCAAGTTCAAACTGATAACGTAGACGGGTCACCGTTCTATCCATCTTCAATTTAAAAATAAATATTATTATTTAACTAAACTATGTACCCATTGCACGTCTACTGTGTCCCTAATGCGTTTCTATTACCGATGTGTAAGGTGCTAAATTTAATGAGTACAAAGCAGATTTCGAAAAAATCAGATTTATATATATATCAGATATATATCCCCGCTAAGAAAAAGAAGCGAACTTCATTCTGTAAGGGGATTACACGCTTAAAAATGTGAAAGGAATTTGTAAAATAAAATAAGTATCAAATTATTACTTCATTTATTAAAAAATAAATAAATAAAAACCTTTAAAAAAAGTAACAAAATAATAAAAAAAAAAACAAGCACGAATTTTTATAATTATTATTTTTAGGAGATTGCCATTTTGGGAAACAATCTAAATTATTTTGAATTGAAGTTTTTCGCTACGTGTTGCCAGAGTAAATATTAATCTCCAAAATTTTTAGATCAGAAGACAGGAAAAAATCAATTGATATATATCCGTTGATATATATCGGCGAATCCTGGTACAAAGGCACCATATCAAGTAATCAATACAATAGAATCCCCTATTAGCCCAAACAGCCGCTGCCGGCAACATGACCGTATCGACACTATTTGCCCACCGCACACTTTTCCAATGTTTTATTGTATTGCCCCCTCCCTCATCTTAATTTGCCACCTGTCATGAATTAAAAATTGCTATATTTCTAATCATTTATCCCTCATCAATTTTCTCCAGATCTTCTACTGCCCTAAAAGGGGGCGTGATCCCTCAGATTGAGAACTTATGACTCAGATAGAGGGGTAAAATTACAGACAACTTTGTTAAGTATAAAACAATTGTTATAATTACCTGCATATGGCTGCGCAGTTCCGACAGGAAAGTGACTGGCGCACGAGCTTTGAGGTACGCGTCTAAATCCTTCTTGAACTGCGACGATGGCAGTATTGTGGCATAGTTGATCACAGCACGCGGCGGCAGTGTGATTTCAGCAAGGAGGTCCACCTTGAGGTTCGGTGTGAAGGGATCCGGGAGACGCATATTCCTCGGGAAAGCAGAGAGGATGAGGTTCCTCATTTGTATGCAGTTGGGTGGTATTTCGTCGCAGAATCCATAGTGGTAATCACAGAGAAACTCGGGGAAATCGTGCAGTAAAACGAGCAGCACTTTGAGGGTGCCTTTGTACAGCATCATGACTGGCGCAGCCAATTCCGTGTTCCGGAGGAATGGATCCAAGTATTTGAACAGGTCGATCAGCAGCGTGGAGTACATTCCCCAACCCTGCACAACAAAAAACATAATTATAAACTGAAGTAATAGTGAACAGTATTTAAATTCAAACGCTAAAAGAAGGATACTATCGTTTTTCCGTATTTTCATGTATTTGACATGCAACTAGAGTACGAATTTTACAATTTCTCTTTTACAATGGTTCGTGCTATTTCTCTCGCGTGTTACATATAACATGCAGTTTAAGAGTGAATCCCCAGCGTAGTGCTGCATTGGTCATCGGGTGTAAAATAATTTTCTTCTTTAAAATGCTAATGCTTATGATTAGGCCAGTTTATACATACCTTTTGTTGAGGTGTGACGGCCAACACCCTGTTGATAAAAGCACGATGCGCAACCAGTTCAAGCCAGGCGTAACAGAATCCGGACGCGTTGCTGGGCCGAATTATGCGGAGAGTGTGACAGAATGCAGTTAGAACCTATACATAATTATCCTGGTCATAAAAATATACTATAATCATCAAAGTGTGGCAACAAACAAATTATCTGCCAATTTTCTGATAGCTAACTAAAACACCAATAATAGAACAAGTTGTACATAAATTTACAAATTTGCACTTACTTCTTTTGCTTTAGAAGTTAGTGAATATTTATTTATCATCAAAATCGTAATTTTTAATAAGAATTTAATTGTATGTATGTACAACTAGTAAGGTGTATGAAAAAGGACGTTGTTACCTGATAATTCATGGATTCTAAAACAGGCTCCGCCATATTCATGTCGAGAAACAGGATTAGAAGAAGTCGATGGTAAGGTAGTTGTTGGAAGTTGGTGCCTTGTTCCTCGTGGTCCATAAGGAGCCACCCAGCGATAATGCCAAGGATCTGAAAGTTGTATACAATTAAATACAATATTGTAAGGTTGAATCACCACCTTCACCACCACCAAAAAAAAAAGATAACCAAGTTGGCAATTGTGTTGTAGGATTTTAATGCTCTGTTCCCTAATCATATCTTAGTAGCCGCTTTGCTAGCAATATCTAATCGATCTCCACCTAGTTTTCGTCACGATAGGCCAACTCACCTGCTTTCATCCACACCTATTAACTCTCACTGGTTTCCTGCCAGCATATTCCAATAGCGCAGATGGGGTTACCATTTTCAAATAATAAAAAAAAATTGTTCTCACTACAGTCTGAAATAGAGAACATTAGCAATTTACATGCAATAGTTTTTCGTTTATGCGAGAGAAATTTAAATGGACAACTCACTTTATTCAAGAGGTTCAGTTTGGGTGTAGGGTTGCCATTATCTGCAGTGTTCTTGATGAGTAGTGAAACGAGTTTGATGAAGGAATCGCACATTCCGTAATATTTGTCCTTCTTGGACGGCGTCTGTGGTGGATTGAGCCTCTCCTCGTTCAGCTGCTGGTACACATTCTCGATGCACATCTGTGTGGCAATCCTGAAGAATCGCGTGATCATATCGTCCGATTTCAATATGCCGTTCATATTCATCCGATGAGCGTATAAATTGAAATTCTGCGCGATCTCAAGTTCTGTCAATGGGTTGAGTAAGTTCGTTCTCCATTCGCGTAGAAGATTCTCGGTTTTCTCTTGTAAACCGGGTGGGTCGTCAAAATCGCGAGCCTGTAAATAATAAATTTATTAAATTGCGCCTCACATTTGTAAGTTATGACATTGTTCTCTATTGTACCATATGGTCATAGTCGTACGATACTGATGGTAATATATATATATTACAATACGGACGAAGTACAATATGGACGATATATATATATATATATATATATATATATATATATATTATATATATATATATATTATTTGTCAGATCTGTCAGTATTTTACGATTATGACGATATGTTCACCATAATAGCAACAATCCATAAATGCCTCAAAATACTCCATAACCGATTATAATCTTAAAGGGAACACAAAAATAATATCAACTAATACAAAAATCGTCTTCAAGAGTACCTTTAAGAGTACACTCATGTTTTTTGTAGCGAAACAGCTGTGTTTACATGATTGAGATTCGGTTTGAAGAGTAGGACATGACATGGCAGTTAAATTAGAGGTTACAGAGACAAAATATCATAATAATTAGGAATGGCAACACATTAATGGTACCAAATGTATTACAGTGCATTCCGTGATGTCATACTAGTGTTCACAGGTGTACAGGCGATTGTTGCCACATTCCTTCAAGTTCATCAAAAAATTACTTATGAGTAATGATTATTAATACAATATAGAAGGCCATACTTACACGCACTGACATGATACCCGAATGGATGTGCGCCGTCGGCCCAAGAGGGGACCTCTCGCCCAAATAAGCACTAGGATCCTGGTTAACCCTCAGCATTTCGATCAGCGTGCCGAGCCCTTCGGGCGGCGGTTGCCTCGAGTGTGTCATGATGCGTACAAGCATGTCGGTCGTGTGGTACAGGTCTGACTCGTTGACATACATATTGTTTCTATCGTCGACAAGGTACAACTGCACTAGTTGCATAGCAAACGCCACAGCCATGTAATTGTTACCGTTGTCCATCATATGCGCGAGAGCAATGTCGTACTGTGGAGAGGAAAATTTACTATCAAATAGATGTGCCTGGAGTTTGGTTCGCGTGAGTCGGTACACTATACCGTGAACTATATTTCATACAAATTCGTTTAGCCATTTAAGCATGATTGAGTTAAAAAAAAAAAAACTCACTTAAATATCTAACTAAAATTATAAATATTTCATGAATCCTGATGGTTGTAGATTCAATTCCTGTATAATACAAACATTTGGATTTATGATCATATTTATTGGTATTTATCTATGCATTTCCTATGTATGTCTGTCAGCTATCTGCTTAATTTGGGACTAGTTGGTACAGAGTGTTATGTTCAAGAGATACTTATTATTATTTCAAGCAGTTGTACATTAACTAATATAAATATACCTGGTGTAAATTGATTAAATGATTCCTGATAAGGCAGTCAACAGCTTCTATGTTGTATCTGAGGTCTTCCCTGCACTCTGTAAGGCAACAGGTTATCTGCTTGGTAGTCCATACGTGGCCATAAACTCGGCCATCTTCTAAGAGCTTCAGGACGCGAAGGTGGATATCACGGTAGCGTGTCATTATTTCCACTTGGTCGCTGTTCGCGCCTGGCTGGACGACGTGACCGTCAAGTAAACCTTCCACAGCCTGAAAAAATATTAAAGAATGTACAAACAGTATTATATACAATGAAGCTAGAAAGGTTAATTGTATATATTTCTTTTTTTTTATTATTTTTTTTTTTCAGTGGTATCTCGCAGCTCACCTTTGGCCACAACAGAATATCAGTGTTTTGCTCTTTTTAGGGTGAAGCAAAAAGCTGAGTTGTGGCCATTTTGTACTACTGTGACACACGCATGAAGAAAAAAAAAATGTTACTAATTTTATGCATTCTGATTTTGTTTTTTTTTTTTTTAATTTTTTGTACATGTATCTTTATCTTTTTTCCTTTGCATTTGTGTCTTTTGCTGTTTGTGTGCTGTCAGTCATGTAAATAAATTATTTATCTATCTATATAATACTGAAAAGAACGTAATGTTCGAAGGATGGACATAAGTGACCCACTTAGAAAATCACAATCCGCATGGTAACTATTGGTGAAACTCCCTTTTGAATGGATGGTTCAGCAGTGGATAGTAGAGGCCTGATATGATGATGATGATGACTTGAAAATTGACCCCATTATATTTACCTTTTGTAATAGAGTACAGCCAGATACAATGTCGCGGTTCCTTCTCGCCATGAATAGACATTCCAACAATGAGTGCATATTTCCAGCTTGCACGGTTAGGGACGCCACACCAACGGAGCTACCCAAAAACATTTCGGCGGCACTGATCAGACCTGTCATCTCATCAGCGCCATAAACTTGACTTGGGTTTATAACTTGACTGAAAGTCAACTGGGGCAATTGCTCTTGTGCTGACGGCTTGGGAATAAACATGCCAGCGTCTCGGACAGGCATGAAGCCTGGTATGTTACATGCAAATTCTTCATATACAGCAATTTGCATGTCTGTCGGTCCGCTCACCCGTAAACGGACCCGTTCTGCGATTCTCTCGGTTTGGTAGGTTAGAACGACGGGATCGTAATACCGTCTCCCCTCCTGCCTAGCTATCTTTCTAATCTCGTAATCGTTCAATAATCTTTTGTCGAGTTCGGGTAGAGCTTTTTCGACTGCTGTCTTCTGGATAAACGCGCATGCGAGTTCCATATTCTCTGTTGCTAAAACCGCTGCTGCGCTTTCGATGATTTCCTGAAATGTATTTGTTATTTATTAAAATGCGAGTTTCAAGGAAAGACAAACGCCTACGTGTGTTTCAAGAGAAACCTTTGACGATCGAACAATGACGCGTGGAACAAAGATATCTCCTGACCACTTTGGCATGTTACAAAGGTCGTAATTACAAACATACCTGTTGAGGCGTTGAAGGCATTAGCGCCGTGACAAACGCGTTCTTTAAATTAGTGCTAATGGTGCTAATGATTTGTTCCCGACAGGTAATCATAGCCATGCCAGCGGTCAAATTTCTCATCATATGATGCGCGCAGGTACGCATTCTAACCTCATCAGGGTCTAGTGCAAAATCCTTTCTGATTATTTGTTCGCAAGTGGTCAGTGCGTATTTAATCGATCTGTCCACTACAGGGTGAATCCATTCTTGAATCGACCTCTCAATTGCAGGCTTGACATATTGTTTCAAATGTGGGTAGTTTTGGAACAGAATAATGTGTGGGTTGAAGCATATTTTTTGACCAAAGGCTGAAGTCGAGGACACGTTGACGTCTAGATAGCTAAATCTAGGCTCTGGTAATCCTAATACACCCATCATGCTGGGGTCGGCAGCAACGAGGCCACTGGTGGGCGTCGCGGCGGTCGCCGAGAGCTCGTCTGCTGGCAACATTGGCGGTTGTGCCATCATTTGCATTTGCGGTGCAGCCAACACAGTCTGGGGAACCAAGGCGTTCGATGTTTCTTTATTTGGCTTAGGTTGCGACAACTGAAACTCTATCAAGCGAAGTTTATCAGGATCTTTCAAGTATAAGGACGGTTTCAGATCTGAAATATCTAAGCTGAGGTTTTTACATAGAACTTCTATTTCAAATTTCAAGTTCAATTTTAAATCTTGCTCTTGATGAAGTTCGGCAAGAACGTTCATTAGCGCCATCGTCCAAGGATTGGGCGGCTTGAATACGACGCTTTTTGCGCAAGACTCCAACACTTTCGCCACGAATGGTACCACATAAAGCAATTCTTGTTGGCCCTTGTGATATGCTTCTAACAATAAAGCTTTAAGATCCAGATCTATATGTAAAATGGGTTGGTTGCGAGCTAAAGTCAGCATTCCAAGCCAGTGACCAAGATTTTTAAGTAGCGTACGATCAGAAAAATTTGCAATACCTTTATCTGACCGTAAAAGCACCCTGATGTTACGATACGTTTCCTTAGTGACCATTTTGTTGATATCTCGAATTTTAAGAACGTCAAGAAAATTGGAATACAGCGCGTGGAAATTTAATTCGATGGACGCGCGCTTCATGACCAGATATTGAGACAGCCACGGATAGTATTCTTCAGTGATTATTTCCTTGAGTTCTTCACATTTAGTTTGGAGGTTGAGTTGACTGAGGTTATTGAAAATGAAGGCCGTTTTGTCTTGTATAGCCTCTGGTGGAGAATTTATTTTCTCCTCTCTGTCGGTTGCAGTTAATAGGGTGTCGATATTGGTTGCATTTGCTATAGATGGTCGGCTCCCCAGGCCCCCAGCAGCACAATTCGTTACTTTCGATATCGCTGAAATCGACGAATGTGCACATACAACGGCCCTAAAAAAACATAATTATTATTACTAAATTATTAAGTTAAATATGACGGAGATTCAAAATATGATATTATCATTAGTACCATTATGAATGTTCTAATTATTTTATTTAAAACTTAATATACAAACTAAAACATACCTGTAGGGCGCCGAAACAGTTACGACAGCAGTTTGATTCAATACTGCAGAACTAGTTGGTAACACCGGTCCTTGAGGCTTAGTTGGTGGTTCTTGACTTTGTAGGCCATATTCAATATATTCAATAAGATGTGGGGGGAATTCACTAAAATGTGGTATAGCTCTGACATGCTCACAATATTTATGATAATCTTTAAGACGCGACTTAAATCGGTCTAGAGCAGCAATACCAAAGTAATACATTTTAGAGCCCTCCGGTTTTCTCAGGGCGTCAAGTACGAAACGCAAAGCTAAACCTAACGAAACGTAACTTGGAACAAGCCCCTTTTCGATTATACCTCCAAATAATTGGGCAGTAATATGCAACTCTTTGTCTGGATACTGAGGGAAAAATTTGTATTCTTCAAAGAGGTTACGCAGCATACAGGAAAATACTTCACGTTCTCTTTTGTTTGGAGAGTCCTGAAATTTTTTTAACATCTCCAATACCTCATCTATAGACAGAGTTGGATGTGGTGGGTGATTATATATCCTTTGAAAATATCCATTAGCCTCATCCTCTATCTCCTTTGTAACATTATGCATTATTTCCGGGAAATGTATTGGATCCGGAATACGCGGTTTATCCATAGCGGGTGCTGGGGCCATTCTAGCCAGCGCGCCCATATTGGCAACATTCGAATTGTGTTGCAAAGGCATCATCGCAAAAGGACTATTTGGACCCGCTCCCATCAAACGAGATGGTGATCCTGGCGTGGTTACTAATGGTCCGAGAGTTCCTGGCATAGCAAATGTAGTGTTGGCCGGAGCTCCCAAATTCATGTTAGCAACATTTGTAGTTAGACTGGTGATAGATTCAACATGCGGAGTAAATAACTGCCCACCTAATCCAGCTGGGTTGAAAGGCGTTTCTATTAATCTGGTATGTGGACGAGCAATACCAGCAATGCTTTGTCTTTTGCTGATTAACATCGGTTGACAGTTTGTGACAACATTGTATATAGCTTCTTGTAATTCGGGTTGCACATTTGGAATGCACAACTGCAAACAAGTTAACATCGTGCTTACTGTCTCATTAGGAAGTTGAGCGGCTTTCGGTAATTGTTCGTCCGGTTTACCGAGAACTTGAGGGCATCTTCGCTGTAAAAATTTCACCATAGCCGATACGAATATCTCACCATGGTCTCTAATCTTGTCCGTTAACCATTTGTCAAGTTTAAGGTACTCTCTCCGCGACGCTAAACAGGCTAGATCGATAACAAAAGGAAATGATTGCACATTCAGCAATAATGACAGTGCTTTAAGATCTTGTGCTACATCCAATATTCTAGATAATTTAGATTGATCACTCTCACCACGTATATACCAATCCGCCATAGCATGCATGATAATAGGTTTTATGTTTGGATTTTGCGTATGCCAGGCATGATGTAAAATAGTTCCTGAATTAGGATGATTGCCTAAGAAGATTGGTATAAGCATTGTCAACAATTCTTGTCTAAATGGAGTAACTGGTGGCGGTATCTGTAATAATGCAAGTAGCAATATGTCGGGACAATGTTGTAGTGGGAACTTGAACAGTTCAAGAACTTGCATATAGTACCCACGTTCAGAGGTGTGAAGAAGAAGTTCAACCAAATACAAGCAGCGCCATGTAGCTATTTCTTTATTGTCAGTTTCTGGAGGAGACTTGAGGAGATCAATTTGAACTGGATGGAATGGATGATCAGCAAAACAGAATATGTCCGGATGTTTGATGATAATGCTGATTAGGCTCATTTGTCCTTCTAAATTAGTCCATCGTCGACAGAGGTAATCCACAGGGAATATATTAGAGGGATATCCTGCGCTCTGAAGTCCAAGACGAAGAATAGTGAACAATAAACTTAGGGCCTGTCTATCAGGCACTAAAAATTCTGGGTGATCAAGTTGCAATATTACTTCCTTCCAATTCAAATTAGAGGCGAGTTCTTTGAGAGTTTGAACAAAAACTTCAGCATTCCATGACTCTCCGTGGCCATGACACAAACCATCCTTCTTCGCTTCATGGCTCATCCAAAAGTTGCCTGGCGTTTGTATCTGGGGACCATCTTGGACCGTAGTATGGTATCTGATCATCACGGATATCATCCTGGCAACGTCCATAGCTGTCGGCTCTCTTGCACCAAAGTTTAGCATGTTGTTCTTGCATTCTTCTACAGAAGAAGTGAATGAGTAACCGATATCCCTGATGACCTCTGCTAATGAGTTGTCCATCATTGCTGCTGTCATATCATCAGTTGTTGTCATTTCCTCTAGCGGTGTCTTTGTGTCGTCAGGGTACAGAAGTGGCGCTAAAACGATTGGCACTACTTCGCGTCGAAAGTCTACTCGTAACCGTAATAGGAATAAGTCTTTCGTCACAGTCGCTAGTGCCTGATGAGCTAAACTTGTTAGTAAGGTTTGTAGTACTTCAGGGCTGCATTCCTGAAGACCTGCTCGTTCCGCTTGATGTCCACGTTCTGCAATAATTAAACGCAAAAGTTACTTAATCATTCTCGATCTACAATACTATCATCTACTGATTACTTGTCTCACCTGCGTCCAAGTAGCACTGCACGAGATCAAGAAATCTCTTTTTCAGATGTTGCTTTGCCAATGATACGATTTCTGGTTTCGAGGAGGACTTTCTCAAAATTAAAGAAAAGGCAACATCTTCAGCAGTGGTTAATCTTAGTAATCTTGACAACCGATTCAGTAATGTATTAGTGGGTTTTAAAATCTGAAAATAATAGCGCGAAAGGTCTATATAGTAAACTACTAAAAAGAAAATTGCTTGCAAAGCGACACGAAGGTACTTCTACGTATTGCCCATTACATTCGAGATTCCAAACAATCTTTGATTCCTAATCATTATAATTATGTATATAAACATTTATTTAAAAAAAAACTATTAGTACCTACATCTGTATGATGTCTGTTATGTCCGTGTGTTTATGAAAATCCATGGCCTCCAGGCCAGCTGCAGTTAACAAAATATTTTACAAAAATCTTACACCAATCTTAAATATTTATATTATTATAACTATTTAGTATATTAATGATATTTCTTGTTAGTATTATTTTACATATAATACATAAAAGTACATATAGACTTTATTTCAAATAATAGTACATACCAAATTATTAAAATGCATTGTTAAAATAAAAATAATGAACTGGAAAAGATGAATGTGATGATTTCGTTGACGTAAATATAAAAAAAATAATAATAATAATAAAAATAGGACATACAGACAACACCACTGGCGTCACATTCGAATAATGGGCAACCAAAAAGAACCTAATACAAATTTTTACGTAAGTTGCTACACTACACTCTAAACACTAAACTATTTAGTCACTTACCCTTTGCAAAGTCCGATTAGGTTGATCTACTGCACGACAAATTACTGTTGATTTGGCCGGATGATTGAGTAGCGAGCCTAGGTGCTGCGACAGTAGAGATGCGTATATATTGTTACTGGGGCTTGAACTTGGCCGGTCACTGTCCCAAGATGCCTTAGCTGCCTCAGTCAGCAAGCACCTTAGGAGTTGATTTTCTGCTTCCAGTCCATAGATGCTGACAAGCTGTTGAAGAAATTAAAACGGAATAAATAAAAAAGGGAATGAAATGTAAAGTAAAATTACACAGTATGGAAGTATATCACCTCGTCCTCAAAAAAGGCAATGCATAAGGTACCATAAATTTTAATACATATAATTAAAATACAAAATTACCTCACCTCACACAATCTGTGTTCATGGGACCATTGCTACCATTTTTTATAAAGACGATCGTATACTTGAACCCCATTCTAAATTAGGGGGAAAGGGATTGTTAGCAATGAGGTCTACTAACCCCATTTCTGCCAATCAAATCAGATCAGGTCGACCACGCAGTTCCCCCTAAAAATCATAGTGGTTAAGTTTTAAATTTGTCACGGTGGGCTAACTGACCTGCTTTCATCCCCACCTGTCATCACTCACTGATGTCTCGTCAGTGTATACCGATAGTACAGGCGAGGTTACCATTCCATTTTCAGCGATAAAGCTATGCTAAGTTGCATTGAAATTGGTACATGTATGTATGTTATGTACATATGTAAATTTCATTACGGTTACTTTTATTTAGCACACCCATATCACGTATTATAGACAATTATATACGTATATATCTGACATCTCAAACTAGAAAGTTCAAAAGTAGCAAATAACAGCAGGCTTGTACTGTCGGGATTAAACCATTCAAAAACCCTAACAAGATTATTTTCAGAAAACCACTCAAAGAAATTAACTTTTTTAAGTAAATACAACATTTGTGTATTAACAAGGGCTCTCAATGGACACTGTAAATTAAATAACACAGGCTTGTGCTCAAAAACCGTTTGCAGACTCTGTTATGACAAGGAAGAAACGCCTTAGTACATAATTTGTGGCTGCAGCCCAATCAGCACAAAAGATACATCTCCTTTGAACAATATACCTACTACATGCTGAAGAGATAAAACAGCATCGCTACTAAGAACATCTTAAAATCCACTATCACTATCACTGACAAGAATTACCAGCGAACTTTAAAAACGGCCAACACAATAGATCACAGAGGTGGCAGGTGTCCAGAACTTTCTGCCTAACAATTGAGTTGAGTAATTGACTTAGAATTACTCAATAGTAATAATAAACCGTAAACGCAACTTTAAGATGGGTCGGTCACTAAACAAACTTAGACACGAAATCCTAGATGTCGCTATAATCGAGACTTGTGGTTTTTGTTGATCATTTTGTAATTGCTAATTTGGGGCAAAAATTTTACATTGGCAAGCGATTTCATTTACTTTTTACCGATACAGTAATCATTTAGTATATAATTAGTCTTTATTACCTTGTATTGTACCACTTTGTAAAAACACATACTAGCAAGAAATACTGGGACAGTTGCAATATTTATTTCTGGATTATAATTTGCACATTATTTGTCACTCCACATTTATAAAGATTAAAAAAAAAAATATACCCACCAATTTAGGAATGTTACTCCAAATTATATTTAATTACAATATAATTAACAAAAACCACACAAGTCTCAATTCCAACGTCATCAAGTATTTCTTGTTTAAATTTCTTTAGTGACCATCTTACCAATGACCTTAATATTGGTGCTATTACGTTACCTAAAGTATAATTTAGCACAGTGTTTTTTAATCTTTTTCATGACGCGACCCCTTATTATGTAAAAATATCTTGCGACCCCCTACTGTCCACGGTTTCAAATGTGTATGAATTTTATTATAGTACAATTATGAAATCCGTATAGCATTACCAGCCATATACCCTATCACGTCGACCTTCACACGGTTTCCTCCAATGACCGAACAAACAAAAATACATATACATATATACACGTAAACATGAATACCAGTAAAGTAACGAAAATTTATAATAAACGTAAATTTATAAATGTATTATTTTACTAGTCCAGAATTAAAAACAGTTTATTTTATTTTAAATTTATATATATATATATATATATATATATATATATATATATATATATATATATACAATTCTGTACCAAAGACAACTATATGTACTCAAATAATAAACACAAGGAAAAAAATACACTTTATTTTTGTTGCATGGAAATTTATTATATTTATTATATTTTAAATTTATTATATTCCTGTTGTTTAATAAATACAGATCACTTATTTCAAATGCACCCTTGATATTTCTCTAACAGCACTAGGTTTTGAGGATACAGCGCAACAGACTATAAGTTTGTATTGAATTGTTTTTTTAGTCTTTTTTACAATATCCACATCGAGAAATATGTATGTGTATGTATATGTACGTAGAGACAATAATTAAAGATGTCCCACAAAAAAAAAAAAAAAACTAACTTTAATTATTTTAAAAGCAATTTTTTTTATCTAAAAATTAAACGGTTTAAAAAGTTCCAAATCGGTTTAAAAGTGACGGCGTTTGAGGTAAAAAAAAAAAGAAAAAAAAGTACACCCGAATTGACAACCTTCTTCTTTTTGAAATCGAGTGAAAAAGAAATGGCTACTAGGAGCACCCGTACACGAGTTTGACGGATGAGCCAGACATCGTTGTGTTCAACCGTATTATAGAGTCCAATGACCCGGCACGCCACGCCGCCACGAGTCTGGACATTACAGAGAGCATGTCTTGTTTCGAGATACGCGATTACCCCGAAATATCCATATCAAATTGAATGTGACAAACAGTATAACCCGTTCCACACCACAGATAAATTTATTTACATGTAAATTTTATCAATTGGTCAATATTGCGAGTTTCAATATACTGTAATCTATACTTATAATAAATCTGTAGAGAGGTCAATTCTGTACATGAAACATATTTTCAAAATAACTATCAGGGGGTGATTAGTGATCGATACTGATGCCAAAAATGCAATCAGTAAAACTTTTGTCTGTCTGTCTGTATGTTCGTTATAGAAAGAAAAACTACTCGACGGTTTTTAACGAAACTTGGTACAATTATTCTTCATACTCCTGGACAGATTATATAGTATACTTTTCATCACGCTACGATTAATAGGAGCAGAACAGTGAAGGGAAATGTTGGAAGAACGGGAGAAGTTACTCCAATTTTAAGCTTCCGTTGCGTGTGCAAGCCTTAATGGCCACTTTTTGAAATGTAAAAATGACCACCCGTGCGAAGCCGAGCGAGCCGCTAGTATATACATACAATGAATGCAATTTAGTATTAGGTGTGACTTTTATACCGTGTCATATGAGTAATCAATAAAGTTTTAAATAAATAAATACACATGGAATGATAAATAAGTTGACCTACTTGCAAGAAAGGCGTAATCGTCGCATACAAACATGAACAGCATCATAATGAATAGTCATGGGTACCATGCCACTTATATTATGTTGTCAATCCTGGCGACCAAGACATTGTCTCCGTCAACAATAGTTTCACTGGCACATTCCACACTTCAAAATGATCTTTATACCGTGCCAAACCACGTGTTCGGTTATCGTATAACCTCATAAAATATGCGCTGTACATTTTTAAACGCATGTGTGACATGTATTTACTATTAAAAAGGAATCAATATACACCATGACACACTTAATACACATTTTTTTTATAAAACTTAGAATGGCAAACAAGCTGATAGCCCACCTGATAGAAAGTGGTAACCGTCGCCTATAGACATGAGCAGTAACCATGGACATAACAGAGTATACTGTTTCGCCCATGATACACCCCATGCGTTGCCATTCCTGAGGACTCAGGTGTTATTCCTCTGTACCCAGTAAATTCACGCCATATACCACCTTTCAAACCGAAACACAGCCATGCAAACACAACTGCTTCACGGTTGAAACACGAATGGGGCAGAGGTATCCAAGCAATCGACTTTTGTACAAAGTCTCCCTCTGGTATATTTTTTCCTTAAAAATAACAACCAATAGAAAAAATAAGGAAAATAACTAGCGGCTGATGGATGTCACAGAATACTTATAAGTACTTAAATTATTTGAATAAATACTATCATTCTAGATGGGCTTTGCTAATAATAACTTTTATCAAAGTAGGCAATTTAGAAATGACACGGTTACTTAAAAAATTTGGTAAAAACAATGTCAATATTGTTTTTTATTTATTGCACAGAAAAATTACATAGTTGTATATATTTTTTTAACAAAGTCGTACAACAGGCGAGCTTAACTTTGTAATAGTTCTCGTCCAGCAAACACAAAGTGAAAAGAAAAAGAGAATTAATTACCTAAGGGTGGTGTATGTATAAAAAATAGAAACAAAGTAAGTGGTTGTGGTAATTCAGAAATCATCAAGTAATTATGGTTACTTAATTATACACTAATTTATAATGTTGAAATACACTTACATTCAAAGTACACTAACATTTGTATAGAATAACAAATACACATTACACCCACATATGTAAAATACACAATAAATTTATGAGGACAGAACATGCTCTTCTAATGTCATCTTGAATCTATCAAACGCTTATAAAACAATTCCTACAAACATTATCGACGTGTACGTGAGTTTGCTTGTTTATTACCTCATAGCGTCCTAATGTCTCAACCGTAAACATGTATTTAAATACTATTATATTTATCATTAACTACGATAACAATATCATAATTACTTTTCAATAGACATTGCGATATTTACTGATTAACACGTCTCATGTACGTAACAATACGCGTGCGTGCACAATATCCGTGGTGATGGAGTAAGTATACTGTGTCATCACTATTTTATATTCTCTATGTGTTGTACTCCATCAGTTGTAAACCGATTTGAGAAATTATTGTTTATCTGAAAGGTAGATAAACCTATAGGCTTTTAAGGCCTTACAGATTGGGCTCATAGAAATTTTATCACAAACAGTTCAGTAGTTTAGTTTTTAAATCAAAATTATTGAAGTGTGTGTGTGTGTGTGTTTTTTTTGTGAGACACAATCTTTTTATTATCTAAATAAATGGTTGAATGTCATTGCAGTGCCATACGATATAGATACTTTCCTAACAGAGAGCCTGGGCCAGTGCCAACAT